CTCTTCTATGTCCCTCCACCTCCACATCATCAGCAGCTGCGCTCTCATCCCTTCTTGTCATTGCTCTGCCCGGTACAGTAGCCAGACCAGCGCATGTTGGTCCATTGCCCCTCCCAATGCTCTCCTTCGGGCCTCCTCTGACACCCCTTCTGCTGCCGTCGCGTTCCTCAGGTACCCCATAGCTCGTTCCCGCTCCACTGCCAAAGGCTCTTCCCATTCTCCCGTAGCAATGTTCTGCACCATGCCTGGCCCTGGTCGCCCCTCTTCTAGTTGGAATGCGTAGCTCCCTGGTGTAGCCACTAACGTCGGCCAGGCTTGCCTTGGTGCCCCCACCTCATTGCATGGAAATTGGTTCCGTGCGTCTGGGGTGGTCACAGGAGCTGGTCTTCTCCCCGGCTCTAGGATGTCTTGTACTAGCCTTGGCATGGGTCTCTGCATCCTCCCTAGCTGGTCTCTCAGCACTGGCTCCGGAATCATGTTCTGCCAGTAGCGGCAAACTCTCATGGCCTTGGACCCCATCTGCACTGCATCCCAGGCCACTCCGTGCCCCAGTTCTCTGGTCACCACCTTGTGTGCCTCCCTGACCAGGGCCCTTTCGTCCTCAGCTACGTCCAGGTTCTCCATGATATACGAAAAGGGTCCTTGTCGCCGCTTGATCATTTTCATCACCCTGATCAGTTCATGAAACAGAGCTATCCGGGGGTCCGTTAGCCCCCGTCCCCTGCCTGCCCTTGACAGCCCCTGACATTCCCACCCCGCCACCACCAGGTCCACCTGCCCCCAGCTTTCCACCACCTCCTCGGTGATGGCTGCTACATCATGCACCGCCTCGGCTTCCGCCTCTGCCCGACTGATTACCGCTATTAGCAGGCAGTCCGGGTATTGCTCATGCAGGAGGCGAGCGTGGTGGTAGGCCATCTGCCTGACCTCTGCCTGCTTCTCCACATACACCCACCACTACACTGTGGCTCCCGTGCGGATGCAGGCCGCCAATCCTGGCCCGATCCCGCCAAACATCTCCACCAATGTCACTGGTCAGTTGAACGTTTCGAAGTCATCGGTAGGCTCCAGCAGCCCCCTAGACTCTCTGAGGTCCGCCACTCTGGAGCCTGCCGCTTCCTCCCACCTCCTCCTTTCTGCGGATTTTTCCAAGTACACCCCTGCGTCTTCGAACCGCCGCTCTGGCACCCGCTTGCTGGCTGGCTCCTTGTACTCGGGGCGTCCTCGTAGGAAGCGTGCTGGCAGAATCGCGGATGTGTGCTCATCTCTTGGCACCCCTGAATCCCAATAGCGTGGCTGGTACTGCACCCTCTCTGCCCATGTGTCCACCACAGCTCCAACCTTATACAAGAGATCCATCCCGAGTAGGAGGTCATAATCGTCTGAGTTCAAGACCAGGCAGTGTACTCGGATTCGGGCCTCGTCTTCGGATCCAGGTGCCAGCACGACCTCCTGCGGCCTCAGCGACCTCGGTAGCCACTTGCCTACCCCTCCTTCTGCTGTCTGAATGCGCACCCCCTCGGGCGTCACATTCTCTTCTCTGTGCAACCCCAGGCGCTCCGCCAGGCGCCGCCCCACCAGGACTTGAGAGGCCCCAGTGTCAATGATGGTGGTCCTGGGGTATTTGCCTTCCACCGTGACTGCTCCTTCCAGTGCTTCCACCACGCATGGTCGTGCTGCCATCCTTTCAAATGGGTGTCGCATCGGCTCATGTCTCCCACGTGCCCGTCGTACGGACTCTTCCACGGCTTCCGCTGCCCTTTCCACCGAGCGATCCACCCGCGCCCTCGGCCCACTCCGTCCTCGCGTCCGGGTACGTCGTCCATCCACCCCTTCGCTGCGTAGTCCCATCTCCTCACGGCTCCGTCCGCCGTTGGAGGCCAAGAACAGCGGCTCCCCTTCTCCCTCGTCCTCAGAGTCGGCTGGACTCCGCACCATGAGGGTCTCTCGACCTTATTCTTCCTCCCCTTCCCCCTTTGCTGCCTTCAGCCGCCTTTTCTCTTCTTCCAAGGCTTCGATGCGACTGCGGCGTCCCCCTCGGCTTCCTTCTTCTCTTTGCTTGGTGTAACAATTGTCTGCCGTGTGACCCTTGCGCTGACAGTACGCACATGTCTGGAGTTTCGGGCAATCTCGCTTGAAGTGTCCCAGTTCACGACACTTGTAGCACACTGGTTCCTCTCCTGGGGGCAGCGTGGCGCTTCTCGCCCTCCGAGGTCTCCCTCGGAACTCTTTACCCTCTTTCTTCTCTTCATCGTCTCCCTCGCTCTCAGCCATCATCGCGCCACCCCAGGTCACTCCCTTCCTGTCGCGTTCCCTGGGCCCGCACTCCACCTTCCTCCTAGGTTGTAGGGGCTTAACGACTGCTCATGTCGCCACGCGATGTCATATGCCTGTCTGAGCGTCGCGTTGGGGCCCAAGTCGAAAGTCCGGTCTCTTGCTGTGCGGGCCAGATCCCCTGACAACCCATTCAGGAACTTCGCCACCACAATCCTGCGCTCATTACAGCCGATGTCCTCGGGTAGCTGGTCCACTCGGCAGTAGTAGGTCAGGAGAGACTCTCGCAGCGCCCTCCTCAACTGCTCGAACTCCCGCAGTCACGCCGGCGTCTGAGTCGGGAAGTGAACCTGCAGTTCCGCCAAGAACTGCTCCGTCGGATCGAGCACCTACACCACCCCCCCTTCCGCATCGCGGCGCACCCTTCCCGAGGGATCCCTCTCTTCCTCCTCCGGAGATCCAATCCGTCAAGTTCCCAACAATACTTCTCGCTCCGGACATGCATCGCATAGGCTTTGAAGCGAGGTCCGGTTTCCTGATCCCCGGTGAACCGCGCCGGCACTTCCACCTTCGGCAGGCTGGTGCAGCGGTACCTCGCTCCCTCATCCCAAAGAGATCGTCGCGAGTTTCCAGCCTGCGGTAGGCTGCGCGCGCTTGCCACTTCCGCCGCCTGCCTTGCGTTAGCACCCCGACCAGCCGGCGGAATCCTTCCGCTAGCACGTCGATCAGCGAGCATCGCAAAGCCGCTGGAATCACGAGGTTCCTCCTCGCTCCCCACCTCGATGGGGCTTGGCTCACGCTGTCCCTCGCTTGCTTGTCCGCGATCGTCATCGGGATCACCTGCAGCCGCGTCTTCCCTTGCGTCGACGCGAGGATCTTCTCCTTCCCTCCCCGAAGGATCCTCTACCCCGGGAAATCGCGCTCCGCTCCGTAGCGACATGCCCACCATAGACTTCTGTTTGTAAGAAAAGCTCTAAGGAAGCTTTCTTAGCTCACACTCACCCTGTCTGGCCCCTCTACATAGTTTTAGCTGTGCTCCTGAATGAATCCATTACTTCACTGAGCATACACGCTTTCCTATGATGATGAGAGAACAAACAGAAGTGGCTACACAACTACGCACTCGCAGTTTTGTGGCTACCTCCCTGCAGATTCACTTCGGAGCGCATACCCTTCCCTCCCGTGTAACCAGCCTCAAACCATTTCGGGGTTTTCTTCCTCCGTGATGGCTCCGTGTCGCCAGCCATCGACGCTGCCTCTCGCCTCACTGCATGTCTCTTCCCCTAACCGGCCTCGTCACCACTGAGCTGTACCCTTCTTGCATGTCCCTCTGCCAACTGTCGTAGCGCCCCACTGCTGTCAACCTCGGCGTGGGCACCCATCACTGTACCTCCCCTTTTATCGACATCACCCTGTACACCTCTTTGCTTCCCCTCCCTTTTCGCTTAACCTACTCGAGTTGTCCCACGAATTTCCATAACACATTTGTTATGTCAATTCGTGCGACACCCCACAAATTTCGTTTGCGCCTACGTCAGAATCGTATTCCTCCCCTCCCCCCTCCCTGCCCTCCCGCCCCCCCGCTCTGCTTTTCCAAACGTTTACAACCTCTCAGCGCGAGTGTGCCACGTAATTGACGACACTACGAACCAATGGTCATCTCTCGCAGAAAGCCAATGGTCGCCAAGCTCGCGACCCAATCAGCGTGGCACTAGCCCAATTGTCACTGTTCATTTTTTCACATTCCCGAAAATGTGTACCGCGGCTTTAATGTCAACTTATACATATTAGCTATATGGAAGTTATAGGCTAGACTGAGGTATGCTTCTAGTGAGTACAACCAACTAGTATTTGTTCTAGGTTTCCACTTCTAGTCAATTCATTCAGTTCTTACTTTAACATTTAAAGCCCGTGGCTATAATAGCAATCAAGGGGGCTGTTTAATTTGCTCTTGAACTTGGCACATGACTTGATCTTTAGAGTAAACGAAACAGAATAAAAACATTTCGTTTTGCAAAGCGGAATCTGACCGTGGCGGTTTGGCGACAGTTTTTGCACGAAACCATTCGGTGAACAGTGCAATACGCGTCGTGCGACGGAATTCGTGGTTCCGTGAACAGCGAAAATGCGAGAAGAACAGTGTTCTTTTTTACGAACAGTAGCTGATTCTGGAATTGCAGACCTGGAAATCACTTGAATTCCCCAATCAAAAAGCGCCTGTCTTTCCTCGTCGCAAGCTGCTCGCCCAAAACCGTCGTAGAAACTCCGTGCGATGCACACAGTATTTTTACGCAATTCGCATCTAAATGATCGTGTCGCAACAAACAGCAAAACGAGTTCTTTCACCATTCCTCCAATCAGCAAGCTCGACCAGAATTTGTTTCGACGCACTTTTCTTGTTCATGCTTGAACTCAAAGCTGCCTTCCATTCTATACTTGGACGGCTTTCAAAACACCAAATTCAAGTGGTTTCCAGGACTGCTATTTTAGCCGCGGGCTTTAATTCCACCCACCCCAAAATTTTCGTGAATTTTTATTAGCTCCCTAGGGTACTATATCCGGGTGAATACGGTATGCGGTGTGATCTGGTGAGAAGCGTTTATGTGCTTTTCGACGAGATGACACGCGACGAGACAATGTTGACATAGTAAAAAAACTACGACAGCGTTCCTTTTTAACCAAATTCGTTATTGTCGACACAGCAGGCTGCCAAGAACAGCAGGGAGGGAGATAAGGTGGTTTTCTTGTAGACAGCTCAAAATCTAGGGTCATGTAAGTTACGCAAGGCTAGAAAATTCAGCTGTAATCAGGAAAGACATGACATTTTGGTCTGACAACGAGGTCAAGATAGTCCAATATGCGCACTTCAATGCCGTGCTAGAGGATGTGAACCTTCATGCGAGCAAGAGGGTCTCAAGGGGCATGGGCAGCCGTGGCGGCACGGCGCGCCAGGAACATGAGGGAAGGGTGCGTGGCCTCCACATGCCGGCCCACCCTGCCCCCCTCTCCATCCCCCACCCCTCGCTTGCCTCCTCTCACCGCCCGCAGAGGAGGCTGGAGGGGAGGCACGCCGCCCGAGCCTCTCATGCTGCCCTGAGGGGCGGTGCTGGTGTGTGGGGGGTTCCTGGGAGGGTGTGGTTGCTGGGCTGCCAGCACGGGGCTGATGGCTGAACTTGTGGTATGGGCACGTGCTGCATGTGCTGCATGTGCTGCGTGTGCTGCATGCGCTTCTGCTGCTTGAGTAGCTGCCAAGGAGGAAGGTATGGCAGCACGTGTGGTGTGAACATTCAGAGCATCATTGCGTGCAGCATGGGCATGCATTGCATGCGCACGCATCGCACGAGAAGCATTGGGAATGGCTGAGCCATGAAGAGCAGTGGCAGCATGAGCATAATGCTGCATACCCACTGAGCCATACAGGCATATTCCTGATCGACCACCACTTTCACTGCTGACTGTGCTCTTTGTCGCAAGTCCAGCTGAAGGATCCAGGGACCACTCTGCTGATGGCACGAGTGACTGCTGCCGTGTGCTGTCCGCACTGCCACTCGCACTCGCAGCATAACCTGAACTGCTCCCTCCCACACTCCCTCCCTCCCTCACATTCCCGGCCCGCCCCCCCATGCCCACCCGTTCCGCCACAATGGCATCCTCGCCCTGCCCGCCAGCAGCAGCAGCCACAGCATTACCGCCACTAGCAGCACCACCACTACCAGCAGAACTACCCCCAACCGCAGCCACTGCACCCCTGGCAGCACCAGCACCACTGGCAGCAGCAGCAGCACCCCTGGCACCACTGGCACCACTGCCAGAGAGCATTCCATGTGTCCCCCTCGCACTCACTGCTCTCCCCCCTCTTCCTCCCCCTGCTTCTAATGCCCCACCCACACTCGCCTTCCACCCTTCGCCCTTCCCCGGCTTCATTGCCCCTCCTGCAACCTGTGTGCCTCCCCCGCTCCCCTTCTCATTCCTCCCCTCTTTCTCACCCCCTTCCAATCCCTCCCCTCCCTCCCAACTCCCCCCTCTCTCTCTTCCTCACTGCTCCGCTCATGCGTGGGCGAGGGCGTGGAGGGCGCCCACGACACCACGTCGGCCGACATGCGCCCGATGATGCTCGATACCTCCTCCACGCACACACCCACTCGCCTCGCCACCCCTTCTGCACTCACCCCAGCCCCCGACCCCAAACCACTTCCAAGCCCGCCAAGCCCTGTCGGCTCCTCAGCTGCTGCCATCTGCGCCATCCCCCACGCCACTGCTGCCTCCTGCGCCCCTTCCACCCCACCCCCCACCCCACCTACCTCGGATCCCTCCTCCGATCCCTCATCGTGTCCCTCCTCCGATCCCTCATCACGTCCCTCCTCTCCCACCCCCCCTGCTCCACCCACCGCCCCTCCAGAGCCACCTGCTGCCCCCCTGTGTGCATCCACTGTGTGCTTCGGCCCACCCTCATCTCCCTCCTCGCTCCTTATGGTTTCCGTTCTCCTGCACTCCACCCCCCCATCCTCTTCCCCTTCACTCGCCTCACCCGCGCCCTCCTCTCCCTCGCTCATTCCTGTCCCAGTCGTGCCTGTCCAGTCACTTGGACCGCCCTCCACTTCGTCTCCCCCTTCACCATCCTCCTCTCCTGTCTCTTCTTGCTCCTCCTCACTCTCCAGATGCCCCTCGTCCTCCTCATCCACTTCTGATTCCTCGCTCCTCTCAACAGCCACCGTGCCTCCCATCCCCCCATCGTCCTCTCTCCCTTTCTGCAGCAGCCCTCTGAACCGAGCACCAATGTCTGCCGCTCGCGTGCCTCCATCCATCGCCTTTTTACCTTTCAGTGCCTCAGTCAACCTGCCACTATCTGCTGCTGCGTGCACACCACCCTCGAGTTCCCCTTTTGTGTCACCACGAACATCACCATTAACATAACCGTGGCCATCCCTCTCAACCCCTGCGTCCCACCATCCTGCCCACCCGCCATCCTTTCCCCCTTCTCTGCCCCAATCCCGCGCCTCTTCACCCTCCTCGTCCCCCCTCCCTCTTTCCCCTCCCAACCCTCGCTTGCCCCTCCTCCGCCCTTCCCGTTGCCTCTCCCCCTGGTGGACGAGCTGCCCGCCAGGGCGGCAATGATGGTGGCGGGGGAGAAGAGGGCGCTGCTGTGCACCGTGACAGGGGGGACGGACGGGGGAGGGACGGGCGGGGGAGGGAAGAACGGGGGAGGGACGGACGGGGGAGGGAGCGAAGGGGGAGGGAGCGACTGGGGAGGGAGCGACGGGGGAGGGAGCGACGAGGGAGGGAGCGATGGGGGAGGGAGCGACGGGGTGGCACCCGCGTCACTTGGTGTTCGCTCCTCCCCCTCCAGCTGCTGCGCGCCCTTCTCAGCGATATCCTCGAGTTCCCTCTCCACCTCCTCTCTTTCACCCCCCTCTTCCTCGTCGCCCTTCCCCCCACCCCCCTCCTCATCCGCGTCCTCCCCATCTAAAGCGTCCACCACAGGCACTCCCCCGCCCATGCACTCCCCGTCCACCCTCGCCCTGCCACGGGCAGACAGTTCGGGTTCAAATGGCTGGCGCAGGAAAGGCGATGGACGGTCAAGAGGATAGCGTGGATGGTGCAGGCGGGCGTGTGGGTCATGGCCATCAGAAGACGTGTCATGCGCGCCCCATGCGGCTGCCATTCCCACATGCATTCCCACATGCATTGCCACAGCGCTCTGCAATCCCGCATTGGGAGATCTATGCGCATGCCCATCCCCACCCTCATGGCCTTGCATCTGCCTGCATTGCACGGCTTCCATATCGCCCTCTTGTCCTTCCCCCCTTGATCGCCTCTTCACGCCCCTTCGCCTCCATTCCCCATCCGCACTCTCACTCCCCTTCTCTGCCCCCCCCCCTCCCCTCCATCCATGATGCCTCTGTGCTCCTCCCCTCTCCCCCCTCCTCTCCCCTCTACCTCTTCCACCCGCCCATCCGTCCCATCCCCAGCATCCCAGCTGCCATGGCTGCCATCCCCTCCCTCACTCCCGCACCCTCTCCCAACCTCCTGCTGCCAACGCGCGCTGCTGCTGCTGCTGCTGCTGCTGCCACTGCTGCTGTTAATGACACTTCCCCTGCTGCTGAAGCCGCTGCCTTTGCGAGTCGCAGCACAGGGGAGGAGAGGAGGAGAGAGGAGGGAGCGGGGGGAGGGGGGGAGAAGGCGAAGGAGGAAGGGGTTGAGGAGGAGGGCGAGGAGGAGGAGGGGGAGAGGGAAGGAGGGGCCGAGGGAAGGGAGGTAGGACCACCCGAGGAGCAGGCAGGCCGAGAAGCACTCGAGGGTGGTCAGGCGGCGGAGGAAGGGGAGGGCGGAGGGCGGGAGGGGAGGGAAAGATGGGCGACGGGAGGGATGCGCGAGGGAGAGGAGGATGTGGAGGTGCAGGGAGGGGGGGACGAGGAGGACCGATATCTGCAGGGGAGGGAGAAGGGGGAAGGGTGGGGGACGGGAAGTGCGAGGGAGGAGAATATGCGATGCGGAAAAGGGAAAAGGGAAGAGAGGGAGACAATGGTAGGGGGAAACACAGCATGGAGAAGAGCAACACAAGGGGAGGGGGGGGATGGGGTTGAGGGATGCGATGTGTGCTGGGCCCAGCACGAGTGCCACAGGCTGAGTAGGAATTGGCATGTGGGTACATGTGCACCCACAGACATGCTGCGTGAGACACTGCCCCATGCGCGCACGTGGAGCAGCGGTCCATGAGAGGCACTCACAGCGATGCATGTGCCGATGACCGGAGCCACGGGCACGAGTGTGAGGAGGCGGGCAGGCGTGGATGGCAGGGCGAGCAGCGCCAGCAGCGCCGCCAGCAGCCCACCCACGGTGCGCCACTCACACACGAGGGCGGCGAGAGGAGGAGCGAGGGGAAGGCGATGGGAGTGTGGGGGGCAGGAGGGAGTTGCATGGGGAGGAGCGTGTGCTGCGCTCTCAATGGCACTGGCTGGCGCTGACGATTTCCCCTGGGCGGCAGGTGAGAGCGGCACGAGCATGGAGTCAGACTCAGCCACGGGCATGGCGGCGTGGCGAGGGGTCTGCCCCCGGGAAAGGGTCAGATGAGAATCTGCCAGGCGCTCCTGAGACCACGGCTTAGGCGCATGCTTGAGCAGGTAGGAGAGGCGGATGGAGCTCTGGAGCGACGAGGTGGTGGCAGGTGGGGAGGAAGGGAAACGGAGGTGCAGGAAAAGCGGGTCTGAGACAGGAGAGTCGGTCCACTCCACTGCAGTGTCATGCTTGAGCTGGTGGGAGCGGCGGATGGGGCTATAAGAGGGAATCGATGGCGCATGAAGGGGGAAACAGCAGCACAGAGGGGACCGGAAGGTCTACTGGACTCGTTTTGGGAAGAAAACGAAACGAAGCAAATTGGGTGGGTAGAAACATGTGGCACAGGAATTGGAAGTACAGGTTTGAACGAACGCAAAGGCGATACTAACGAGATAAGGAATGCGGATGGGAGGCGGCAGTCCCAACAAGAGGCAGAGCGCCGCCACTGCAGCAGTGACGCACAGGTCCCACTCCCTCACACTCACTCTCCCACACCCTCCCTCACACCCCACTCCCTCCCCTTCCATCTCATCTCCCCATACTTCTGCCTCCACATTGTCTCCTCCCATGCCCTCTCCCTCCCCCCCTCCTCTCTCTCCCTCTCCGCCCATCCCACCCTCCTCTCCCCAGCCCGCCTCCAACCCTCCGTCCTTCCTCGCCCTTGTGTCTCTCACTTCGCCCCCTCCCCCCTTCACTCGCCCCCCACACCCAGCAGCAGCATGCAGCCGCGCCTGGGCAAGTGGAGGGTGCAGGAAAGGGGGAGGGGAAACGGGGGCGAGGGGGAGGGGAGGGGGGGATGCGGCGGATGGTTAGTGGGCACAAAAGCAACTGGCTGACTTGAGGAGCGGGCATGGAAGAGATGGCGTGAGATCGGAGAGATGGCGTGAGATGGGAGAGATGGCGTGAGACGGGAGAGATGGCGTGAGACGGGAGAGATGGCGTGAGACGGGAGAGATGGCGTGAGAGGGGAGAGATGGCGTGAGACGGGAGAGATGGCGTGAGAGGGGAGAGATGGCGTGAGATGGGAGAGATGGCGTGAGATGGGAGAGATGGCGTGAGATGGGAGAGATGGCGAGAGATGGGAGCAATGGCGTGAGATGGGAGAGATGGCGTGAGACGGGAGAGATGGCGTGAGACGGGAGAGATGGTGTGAGAGGGGAGAGATGGCGAGAGATGGGAGAGCTGGCGTGAGATGGGAGAGCTGGCGTAAGATGGGAGAGATGGCGTGAGATGGGAGAGATGGCGTGAGATGGGAGAGCTGGCGTAAGATGGGAGAGATGGCGTGAGACGGGAGAGATGGCGTGAGAGGGGAGAGATGGCGTGAGATGGGAGAGATGGCGTGAGGTGGGAGAGATGGCGAGAGATGGGAGAGCTGGCGTAAGATGGGAGAGATGGCGTGAGATGGGAGAGATGGCGTGAGATGGGAAAGATGGCGTGAGATGGGAGAGATGGCGTGAGACAGGAGAGATGGCGTGAGACGGGAGAGATGGCGTGAGACGGGAGAGATGGCGTGAGACGGGAGAGATGGTGTGAGAGGGGAGAGATGGCGAGAGATGGGAGCAATGGCGTGAGATGGGAGAGATGGCGTGAGACGGGAGAGATGGCGTGAGACGGGAGAGATGGTGTGAGAGGGGAGAGATGGCGAGAGATGGGAGAGCTGGCGTGAGATGGGAGAGCTGGCGTAAGATGGGAGAGATGGCGTGAGATGGGAGAGATGGCGTGAGATGGGAGAGCTGGCGTAAGATGGGAGAGATGGCGTGAGACGGGAGAGATGGCGTGAGAGGGGAGAGATGGCGTGAGATGGGAGAGATGGCGTGAGGTGGGAGAGATGGCGAGAGATGGGAGAGCTGGCGTAAGATGGGAGAGATGGCGTGAGATGGGAGAGCTGGCGTAAGATGGGAGAGATGGCGTGAGATGGGAGAGATGGCGTGAGATGGGAGAGATGGCGTGAGACGGGAGAGATGGCGTGAGACGGGAGAGATGGCGTGAGACGGGAGAGATGGCGTGAGAGGGGAGAGATGGCGTGAGACGGGAGAGATGGCGTGAGAGGGGAGAGATGGCGTGAGATGGGAGAGATGGCGTGAGATGGGAGAGATGGCGTGAGATGGGAGAGATGGCGAGAGATGGGAGCAATGGCGTGAGATGGGAGAGATGGCGTGAGACGGGAGAGATGGCGTGAGACGGGAGAGATGGTGTGAGAGGGGAGAGATGGCGAGAGATGGGAGAGCTGGCGTGAGATGGGAGAGCTGGCGTAAGATGGGAGAGATGGCGTGAGATGGGAGAGATGGCGTGAGATGGGAGAGCTGGCGTAAGATGGGAGAGATGGCGTGAGACGGGAGAGATGGCGTGAGAGGGGAGAGATGGCGTGAGATGGGAGAGATGGCGTGAGGTGGGAGAGATGGCGAGAGATGGGAGAGCTGGCGTAAGATGGGAGAGATGGCGTGAGATGGGAGAGATGGCGTGAGATGGGAAAGATGGCGTGAGATGGGAGAGATGGCGTGAGACAGGAGAGATGGCGTGAGACGGGAGAGATGGCGTGAGACGGGAGAGATGGCGTGAGAGGGGAGAGATGGCGTGAGATGGGAGAGATGGCGTGAGATGGGAGAGATGGCGTGAGATGGGAGAGATGGCGAGAGATGGGAGCGATGGCGTGAGATGGGAGAGATGGCGTGAGACGGGAGAGATGGCGTGAGACGGGAGAGATGGCGTGAGAGGGGAGAGATGGCGTGAGATGGGAAAGATGGCGTGAGATGGGAGAGATGGCGTGAGACGGGAGAGATGGCGTGAGACGGGAGAGATGGCGTGAGACGGGAGAGATGGCGTGAGAGGGGAGAGATGGCGTGAGATGGGAGAGATGGCGTGAGATGGGAGAGATGGCGTGAGATGGGAGAGATGGCGAGAGATGGGAGCGATGGCGTGAGATGGGAGAGATGGCGTGAGACGGGAGAGATGGCGTGAGACGGGAGAGATGGCGTGAGAGGGGAGAGATGGCGTGAGATGGGAGAGATGGCGTGAGGTGGGAGAGATGGCGAGAGATGGGAGAGCTGGCGTGAGATGGGAGAGATGGCGTGAGACGGGAGAGATGGCGTGAGAGGGGAGAGATGGCGTGAGATGGGAGAGATGGCGTGAGATGGGAGAGATGGCGTGAGATGGGAGAGATGGCGTGAGATGGGAGAGATGGCGTGAGATGGGAGAGATGGCGTGAGACGGGAGAGATGGCGTGAGACGGGAGAGATGGCGTGAGACGGGAGAGATGGCGTGAGAGGGGAGAGATGGCGTGAGACGGGAGAGATGGCGTGAGATGGGAGAGATGGCGTGAGATGGGAGAGATGGCGTGAGATGGGAGAGATGGCGTGAGATGGGAGAGATGGTGTGAGATGGGAGAGGAGTGAATGGAGGATGGTGTGAATGGGTGGTTGAGTCCCACAGGCATGATGGGTGGTAGGCAGATAGAAAGGTGTAGGCCTAGAGAGGTAGGCAGGGAAATGACACATGATGGGATTGAAGTCGCAGTCACACTCAGTGCGCCCTCGCCCCCTCGCTACAACCACTTCGAGTGTGAGCGCTGCCGTGTTGTTCTGCCTTGGAACCGCACAGTACCGGGCAGAACAGCCAGCGCTGGTGTTCTGGGCACGAACAGTCGAGTGAAGTAACAGCAGAGCGGTACGTCAAGTCGAGTACCTCTTGCGTGAGCGCCGCCGTGTTGTGCGCGAGGAACAGCAGCGCTGCCAGCACGGCCCCGGGCACAGCAGCAGCCACCGCTGCCCCCACAGTCACTCCCCCCAGGTGAGAGCCCCACGCGATGGGGGGGATGTGGGGCGGGGGGGACAGCAGAGGCAGGGGGAGCTGGAAGGAGAGCAGCAGGGGGAGGTGGAGGAAGGGGGGCACGGCCAGGAGCACTGGAGGGGAGAAGGGGAGTGGGCGGGGAGAATGGAGGGAGGTGGAAGCAGTGCAACGAGGGAAAGTAAGAGAGAGATGTGATGACGGAGAAATGGAAGAGACGCCCTGGTGACAATACATTCCACCGATAAGCACCAAGGCAAGCTGCAGCACGCAACACAAGCTACGCCCGCATATGCCATGCGAATGGGAGGGTGCAGGCGGGCATGAGAGAGGGTGGAGTGAGAGCGTGAGAGAGGGTGAAGAGAGAGCGTGAGAGAGGGTGGAGAGAGAGTGAGAGAGAGGGTGAAGAGTGTGTGAGCTAGCACGAGAAGGAACATACCCGCTGATGCGAGGAAGCCCAGTATCGGAGCATAGTGGGCAAGTGAACCACGGATGTAGCCACTAAAAAAATGCCATGTGGCAGCCCTTCTAAGCCACAGCGCAATTATGACACCTGCACCGGCCACACACACTGTAGCAAACGCCACTGCCTCTCCTCCCTCTCCTCCTTCCACCGCCCCTGCCTGTCTGAAACACTCTGCACCCATCTGCACTCCGCCCACAAACAGCACCCCACTCGTCAACGCCCCTTCCACCCGCCACGTGGCAGCAGACCACTGGTCCGCCAGCCTGCACGCATTAGCAGCAGCGGCCAGCAGCAGGCAAACAAACGCCCAGAGCCCCACCCAGCCCGCCCAGGGCAGGAAGGGCAGACGGAGCGCCGCAGTCAAGCGGTAGAGCCCCCCCATCAGCGCCGCTACCAGCACGCTGGGCGCGGCTGCTGTGGCTGGTACGCCCCCCAGCAGCGCAAATACCCCCTCTGCCAGCGCTGCCGCCACGAGCGTGTGGCGCGCGGTGAAGGCGTGGTGTGTGACGAGGGCGAGGAGCTGGCCGGTGGCCAGGCAGTGCAGGACGGAGAAGAGCGCGGACGGCAGGACGGATAGCGCTGCCTGGTTGCTGATGCCGCAGCCGCCCACACAGGCGGTGCCTGGGGGAGGTGGTACCTGGGTGGGGCTGTGAGGCACAGCCCACGGAGGATTGCGGTTGCTGCTGGTTGCTGGCAGCTGGAAAACAGAGGAGGACTGCAGAGCAGCGATGACGTCATGGAACAGCCACGTGGCGCCATGCTGTTGGTTGGAAACACGGCGAAGGTACCTGAACTCCTCCTCATGCCCCCCATCCCCCTCCCCCTCACCGCTCATGTCTACCACCACCGCATCCCCCGCCCCCATTCCCTTATCCCCCTCGTTCCCCCATCTGCGCCCCCTACCATCCGCACTCACCCCTCCCCCTGCCCTTCCATTCCCCCCGCCCGCCCATTCCCCCTCACCCCCCAGACCTCTCTGCCTTCCATCCGCCCCTCCCCTTCGTTCGCTCCCCCTGCGCCCTGCGCCCAGGGGGGTGGGGGAGGAGGAAGGCATCAGCGCGCTGCTGCGATGGGCGGAAGCGGTGGGAGCGGCGGAGGCGGAGCTCAGACTAGGGGACGCGGGAATGATCTCCGGCAGGCTTTTGAGACGAACTGCGCGCGGCGGCATCGTGGCTGGAGATTAATCGCCTCCACACGCACATATCGCGGGATCAGTGCGCGCATCAAAACCGGGCGGTAGCAAGTCGTTATCCGGCAGTGCGTCGCATGTCCGAGGAGCGGCTCGCCCTCGTGTCCGCTGCTTCCTCCTGCCAACGCCAGAACAATCTGCCTGCCAGTGATTCGTGCCTGCCAGCAACAAGGTCCGCCCAACCATGTCTCGCGGCATCGTTGCGAGCCCCGGCTACCGCGCTTGCGCCCCGAACTCTCCCCCGCGTTCCCGCAGAGAAGCGCACGCAAGCGCAGGGGAGTGAGGGCAGTGGAATAGGGACTTGGGGGATGCGGCTGGCCGGCGACGGCTGAGATTAGCGCTGCTGAGGTCAAAGCTGGCGAATCGACGGCGGGAGAAACGCGAGTAGCCATTCGAGGAATTCGAGATGGGTGGACGCGAGAGAGGCTGTCGGTCGAGACCGCGCTGCCGGTACGAGAAATGACACGCAGGGAGTGAAACCGCCGTGCTGCGGACACGAGCTCCGCTTTGGGCTGTGAGATGCTCAAGAGGTTCTTGCGAACGCGACGATCGCAGCGGCGCGCAGCACGCGGAAAGATGCAATGACACTCGATTCGACGGTGCGCAGCTAGGGCTCAACAAACGGGTGGGTCGAGCGGTGCGAGCAACGCGAGGCGGACATCACGTGTCTCATGAATGACAGCAGGGCTGGAGAGTGCAGGGGCCCAGACCCGCAGAAGGCGAAAGGCAGATACGCGATTGTGGGTAGGAGCAATTCGACTACATTGCAGGCTACTATAAATAAATCACAAACGAAGTGCGCTATACTATGCAAATAGTATATTCATATACTTGGCATAACAAGGATAAACAAAAAATATCATTATAAAGCACGTGTTCTTGCATAATGAGATGGTAATGAGAAGATTCCTGCCATGTCGTTTGAGATTGTAGACTTGTTGCCTACTTGGCCTTTTTCTAACAATCGGCAATTCTAAATGCAGCCATCATGATTGACATTAGAAAGGATCACCTCAAAGGCGAAAAAGAAACCCACACGTGTCCGCACCCACACCGCTCATTCCACAAATTCGAACTGGGGGTAGACGACGAAGCAGGCTGGAATCCACCTCCGCGTAGAAAGGAAAGGAGCGCCCTTAATGAAGATTTCTTGGAAGGTCGAGATTCGAGACTACTACGAGGCGGCCCAAGAGTTGGGATCGGATCGGGGTCGTTGACTCAACGGGCGAGATCCCGATGGCCATCGCCGGTCTAGTGTAGCCACATCGCCATCGAGTGCACGTGCCTGCTCGTGCGATCGATCAGCAGCTGCTGCACATTGCAACCGCGCGCCTCGACGCAGCAGGTTGACGAATCGTGGATCGTTGGAAGCAATTGGCGGCAGGCGCGTGGGGCGCCGTTGATTCGTGATGGCGGCCGCCACGGACGGCCGTGATGGCGTCGCAGAGGTGAGGCGGCCGAATTGTGGGGAGGAGGACGCGCAGATGGCTCTCTGATCCCGCCACTCCTTAGCGCCTAATTCGCCCGGGCAACACCATCTCTCCACCCATTCCCACCACCCCCCACCGCCTCTCCCTCCCTCCCGGCCGCACTCACCAGCGAAGGCGCCATCGCGACTCCCCCCTCTCACCCTCTCCGATGTCGCGCCTTTCATACGCGTCAACATCTCCATCTCCCCCCTCCGCACCACCCCGTCCCCACGCCCCCACCCCCTCCTCTATTCCCGCCGCAACCGCCGAAGGAAGCGGCGTCGCTCATGTCCGCCTCAGCTGGCGTGGGCCACCCCTCCCAGCCGCCGCTCATCCGCGTCTCATTCGGCGTGTCTCCCTCCCGCCGTCCCCAATTCGCCCTCCCCCCAGCAGCCATCCCCAGAGCAGGCGGCTTCCCTTCTCTCCCGCCTGACCTTCGCGTGGGTGACGCCTCTCATCCGCCTCGGCAACTCCAAGGTGCTGCAGGCGGCAGACCTGCCGCCCCTCTGCCACCGCGACTCCACCGCTGCTGTGGCGCCGGGGGTTAGGGAGGCTTGGGAGAGGGAGAGAACTCGCACCGACAGGTATGTGGGGCACAGATCGAGCAGACTTGCTAACGTGCCCCCTCTCTGCCACCATGACTCCACCTCTGCAGTGGCGCCCGGGTGAGGGACGCGCACTGAGCGAGAGAGCAGGCGTCTCCCTTGCTGCTGCTGGGACGGCCTCGATTCCGTTCCTCCCGCTCTCGCCCTGCTGTCTCCACGCCTCCCTCCCTGGCCCGTGCTCTAGCGAGGGCGTTCGCATCGCCCTTCACAGCACCGGGCGCGCTGAGCGCTTCCACCATCTCGTGCACCTCGCCTCGCCGCTGCCGCTCCATTCAATTGCCTCGTCCTCTTCTCCCCCTTTCAATCGTCCTCTTCTCCCCCTTTCAATTGTCCTCTTCTCCCCCTTTCAATTGTCCTCTTCTCCCCCTTTCAATCGTCCTCTTCTCCCCCTTTCAATTGTCCTCTTCTCCCCCTTTCAATCGTCCTCTTCTCCCCCTTTCAATCGTCCTCTTCTCCCCCTTTCAATCGTCCTCTTCTCCCCCTTTCAATCGTCCTCTTCTCCCCCTTTCAATCGTCCTCTTCTCCCCCTTTCAATCGTCCTCTTCTCCCCCTTTCAATCGTCCTCTTCTCCCCCTTTCAATCGTCCTCTTCTCCCCCTTTCAATTGTCCGCTTCTCCCCCTTTCAATTGCCTTTCACCTCGTCTCTTCTCCCCCTCTCACCCTGCTCTCGTCAGGCCTCCGTCCTTAGCCCGTGCGCTCATCAGAGCGTTTCTTGCGCCCTTCGTGGCAGCGGGCGCGCTGAAGCTCTTCCACGACCTGCTTCAGCTCGCCTCGCCGCTGCTGCTGCAACAGATTATCCTCCACCTCAGCATGACGTCGTTCCACGTCAGCACTCCTCCTCTTCCATACTCCGGCACAAGCACATCATTTCTTGATCCCACCGCAGCAGCCATCAGCATCAGCTCAGTCGGCCGTCTCCCTGGTCCCTCGCCCCTCCCCTCCAATTCCTCATTCTCTCTCCCCTCCACCCTCACACCAACCCTCCACCGCTCCCTCCTCTCTGCCCCTCTCACCCCCCCAACTGCGCCCTTGGGTTCCTCCTTGCCCTCGCTCCCCCCAGCACCCGCTCTCCTCGCCTGGATCTTCTTCCCGCTCCTCTCCCTCGTCCCGCACCCACCCGCCCACCCCACCAGCGCACCTGCTGCCTCGTTGGCGCGCGCGCTTTCCCGCGAGGCAGTGCACGCTGCTCCCCCGTTATCCTCTGGCGCCTCTTCATCCTTGTCACTAGCTGACTCGCTACCAGCATGGCTGCCGGGGCTGCTGCTAGCGCTGGTGCTGCTGGCGTGCAACGTGTGCCAGTCGCTCATCGCCCACCAGTACTTCCACCGCCTCTACCGCCTCTCCTCGCATGTATGTCTGCCTCTACCGCCTCTCCTCGCATGTATGTCTGCCTCGACCGCCTCTCCTCGCATGTATGTCTGCCTCTACCGCCTCTCCTCGCGTGTATGTCTGCCTCTACCGCCTCTCCTCGCATGTATGTCTGCCTCTACTGCCTCTCCTCGCATGTATGTCTGCCTCTACCGCCTCTCCTCGCATGTATGTCTGCCTCTACCGCCTCTCCTCGCATGTATGTCTGCCTCTACTGCTTCTCATGAAAGCAACGTGCTGCTCCTCCCATGTGCATCTCTCCAATGTGCTGCTGCTGCGTCGTTCTCCATCTCCCCCCACCCCTCTCCTTCAGCGTCTCATCTCCTTCAGCGTTTCATCTCCTTCAGCGTTTCATCTCCTTCAGGGTTTCATCTCCTTCAGCGTCTCATCTCCTTCAGCGTTTCATCTCCTTCAGCGTCTCATGTCCTGCTCTCACATGCATTCCATTCACCCCTCACCCCACTCGGACCTATGTCCTCCGTCCTTGCTTCTCGCCCCCTCTCTCCGCCGCATGCTCTATCACCACCCTTGCATGTGGGCAGGGTTCTCATCGCTCTCCCGCTCCCTGCTTTCTCGCCCCCTGCTGCCCCACTGCACCTCTCTCTCGTCCCACCCCCTCCTATCCCCTGCCCCCGCAGGTGCGCATGGGGCTCGTGTCTGTGATCTACTTCAAGGCTCTTGAAGGGCCTCGTGTCTCTTCCCACTCACTCGCACCTCACCCCTTCTGTCCTGTCTCGCCCCCTCCTGTCTCGCCCCCTCCGTGCCTGTCCCCCTCCCAGGTGCGCACAGGCCTCGTGTCATTGATCTACTCCAAGGCGCTCCGCATCTCCGCTGCAGCGCGCCACTCCACCAGCCTTGGGGAGATAGTAAGGCCAAGAGGCAGAGTGCCGCCTATAGCAGGGTGCCATCGGTAGCATAGTGCTGCTTGTAGCATAGTGCTGCTTGTAGCATAGTGCCGCCTGTGGCAGAGTTCCTCCTGTAGCAAGGTGCCGTCTGTAGCATAGTGCCGCCTGTGGCAGAGCTCCGCCTGTAGCAGGGTGTCATCTGCAAGCAACCAAGTGACACGTCTGCTCGTGTTCTCTTCTTTCGCGCTTCCATCACGCCTCAAATGGCCTTTCATTTGCACTGCTCGTACCTGTGAAGTGGGCTGCGGCACGAGCCCCCGCCAAAGTGCTCTCACACCCTGCTTCGCAACCTTCTTTCTGTTGTTTCCACCTGATCAGGTGAATCTGCAGAGCAATGATGCGGAGAAGCTGGCGAAGCTGTGCATCTATCTGCACATCGTGTGGAGCGGACCTGTGCAGATCATCGGTGAGAGGGAGTGGATGTGCGGTAAAGGTGGGGGGGAAGGGGAAGGGGAGGGTGGGGAGGAGGATGGAAGCGGGGGTGGTTGGGAAAGGGTGGGGAATGGAAGAGAGGGACGTGAAGGGTGTGGGAATGAGGTGCGCTCTGCCACATAGAGTATGGGTCGATCATGCTTCCAGGGTAGAAGGTTCAGTCATTCTTCGCAGGAAGGAAGGACCGCTGCATGGCTGCATGGCAGCATGGCTGCATGGCAGCATGGCTGCATGGCAGCATGGCTGCATGGCAGCATGGCTGCATGGCAGCATGGCTGCATGGCAGCATGGCTGCATGGCAGCATGGCTGCATGGCAGCATGGCTGCTCGAGCTCATTGCAGGAAATCAGACACTCAACATCGCTCCCTGCTTCTCCTCCCCACCCTTCTCCTCTCCATCCGTTCTCTCCTCTCCACTGCTCCAATTGCCCCGCCACTGCAGGTGCACTGGCCTTCCTCTTCCGCTTCCTCTCCGTCATCCCTGGTGAGTCCATTCCGCACTCAGGTAGGGCCCTTGCCATGTTATTCCATGCCACGCCACGCCATGCCACGCCACGCCACGCCACGCGCCATGCCACGCCATGCCACGCCATGCCACGCCATGCCATGCCATGCCACGCCACGCCACGCCATGCAATGCCATGCCACGCCACGCCACGCCACGCCACGCCACGCCACGCCGCGCCACGCCGCGCCACGCCACGCCACGCCACGCCACGCCACGCCACGCCACGCCACGCCACGCCACGCCACGCCACGCCATGCCATGCCATGCCATGCCATGCCACGCCATACCATACGATGCCATGCCATGCCATGCCATGCCGTGTCATACCATATTGTAACCGTTCCATATCATGTCATACTATGTTGTTGTGCCATACCACACCCCT